CTTCAAAACAAGGCTTCTACTCCTGAATGCTCCTGTACCATTCATCACAACTGCACTGCACTCTGGGAGTATAATAGCTCAATCACAGAGCCCTCCCCTCAACTCCCCCAACCCAGGCTGCATCTGGCAGCACTCTAAACTTTTCCATTTCTGAGTTGTTGGAGACATATAAAGGACTTTCTTTCTGTGTCTGTGAGAGTATTCAGGTGTTTTTCAGGAGTCAGGAGGAGGCCAGAGCTGTTTGTTCCGTCAGAGCTGAGTCCTTGGTCCATCTCTGCCTTTAATTGGCTCATTTTGAATGATTTCTACGGATAAGTCTGCTTCAAGGCTGCCTTCAGAGCCATCTGAAAGGTAATGCGCTAAATGAGTTCATTGGCAGTTGCACTGTGATTTTAAGCCCCAGGTTCAGATCATATTTCCCTCACTTACAAATGAAGCTTACAAAGTGTTAATAGTTTCTCTTTGGCGGAAAAAAAAATATTTAAAGAAAGTTAAACAGATATTTTGTGCTGCATTACTGAAGCAGTGGTTGTTGGCTCTCGTTATATTTTATGATTTTTAGTATGAATATTCAAGACTAGCCTCACCTGACGCCATTGTCACATGTTGGGTTTCAGAGTGGACGGGTCTTTCTCTTGAAACTTTTTGTCTTTATGTCTTTGAGTAAAGTTGATGAGGGAAATGAAAGATAAAAATGTGTTTTCCTGACTGCAGGGATTTGATCCCATTCTGCATTGAGAGCATCAGTAAGGTCCACATTTGCTTAAACTCTCCTAATCTCCTCAGCAGTGTCATCCTAAAGGTGTTGACTTGGGCTGGGGTCAGGGTTATTAAGTTAGCTTGATGGCCTTTGCCACACAAGGGTAACGACACCTTCACCCACACTCTCACCTCATTATTTTCCAACCAATACCCATTAATTTTAATTTGCAGTCCAACACATCAGCTACTCCCACACTTAAGGGCAAATTCAATAAAATAGACGGTATTTCCTTAAACATAAAATACTCCACGGTCTAACATACTGACCTTCCAGCAGAGACACCAACTAACTTCCACTGCTGTTTTTATTACAGTTAGCTCTTGTTTTCTGTTTCTGTATGGAGGTGAACTGTTAGCATCTCTATCCCCTGCTGCACACAACTGCACTATGCACTGCTGCTCAAATACACATAATAGTGACAAGATGAACTTCTTAACAGTGAAACCATTTCACTAATTTGCTGTCTCCTCCGTTGTGTGCTTTGTTGATTCATAATTTTTCTTTTGGTTTTTCTTTAATGACCTTCATAAAGACTTAGAGCCACAAACCGGAAGCAACATTACAACAGCACATAATGAAACTATAGCTTACATAAATATGATGAAAGATGTGAATGTGGAGCAAGGTCAGTGCAAGCAGCTACCCTCAGACGTCTTCTGTACGGGCATAGCTTTCTGGTTGTTTTGTTACTGGGATGCTGTGTAAAAAGTAACACCCTCAGGTTGTGTCTAACATTCTATCAGTGGAGAAGCAGCTAAAATTAAGGGTTTTAGGCAGAGTCTGAGTAGTGGTGAAATCAGGGTTTTCACTGATGCTAGTTTGAGACAAGTAGGGTGTTTTAAGCTGCAAATCACACAAAGCTACTTCATAAGTGTCCCAGACTGACATATTGTAAAGGGAGACAGGACATAATAGGTCTGCTTACATGGGGTTGGCTATTCTGAATTTAGATTTCTGTATTGGCAGTTTCTTTCCCTAGCTGTCTGGCTTCCTAAAGAGTATATAGAGGATATTTCTATCTGTGTGTTTGTGCTTCTAGATGCATCAGCCCCAAGATTTGTTGGATAAGTGGTGAAGACATCTGCACACAGACTCGGGCCTTTCTGAGTGGATGCAGCAGCAGCAGCACTTGAGATATTTTAAGAGCGGTGAAGGTTTCCCCTCTCCGTGACCTGCTTCTGCAGGGAAATACACGCACATGACTGTTAAATTCAAATCAGTTTGTCCCCTCTCATTTAGAGAGGCCGAGGAGAAACATGCAGCAGAAGGAGGAGTCTTCCCCACCTTTTTTATTTCTCTTTTTCTTCATTCATTCTCTCTCTATGACTCTCTCCATCCCATTTACTTGAATTACCATACTCGTTTTATCCTCTTCCTCGCTTCCTTATCTGCCCCTGCATGTGTTACAGTCCTCAAGGCGCTTTCTTAGCACTAGCGCAGAGTCCATCATTGTGTGTTCATTCCACTTGATCCAGTTTTCTCCCTGTGTGTGTGTGTGTGTGTGTGTGTGTGTGTGTGTGTGTGTGTGTGTGTGTGTGTGTGTGTGTGTGTTACCACAATAGTATTTTATACCCAGGGGGAAATCTTGGTCTGTTTAAATGGAGGGATTGTTATTGAAATGTTGTGATGATAAATGGCTAATACAGGGTATTTATCCTACACTGTCGTTATCACTTTACACTATTTGAAGTCCGTCCCTTAATCCCAGCGCAGCTGAACAGGTTGACAACGAAGAGAAGTGCAAAGCTTAATCTGAGGATAATTTATTCTTGTACAACTTGCCAGCAATTTAAAAAAACAACTACATGTGACTGATCCCTTCCTGTTATGGTTTTAAAGCCTACCTTTTATAAAAATAGTCCGAAATGGAAAAGCATATAATCATTGTGTTATTATTCTGAACGACATTTATTTGGGACTTTTGAGAGGAAACAGGACATCAAGAGGAGTTGAGAGCTCAGCTGCTGATGAATATAGTGGCTCAGATTTTATATTTGTGTTTTCTTTTACAAGGGTCTGACAGAGGGCAGATACATCCTACACAGCCTGGTAAAGTTGGATTTGAAGGCCCCTTTACAATGACTGTTAGTCTTCAAACCCAACATTGAAAGGATACAGCATCTGTGCCAGAACATAAAGAGTAACAAAGGCCACATTTACAGTCATGATTTTTACTTTTTCTGTAATCTTGAAAGGTGAGACAAAAAGGTGTTTTGAAAATTATGAAAAAGTTTGGTCCCTAGTCCCCGAAAAAGACAGGGAAGTCCGTACCCAAGTGTCATGTAGAAACATGCCAGTCCCCAATCAAGCCCAACATAAAGGAAGGCCAACCCTATCTCAAGTCTCATGCGCAGACAAGCAAGTCCCAAGTTCAAAGCAACAGGGAAGTACTGAGTCAAGTCCAGTGTATAGAGAGGCTTATTTTGAGTCATGTCCCAGGTAAAGACAAGAAAAGTCCTAAGTCGAGTTTTATAAGATATTTTTTATATATTATAATTTTTTTAATTTTTATTAATTTAATTAATTTAATTTAAATTTTTTAATTTTTTAAATATTGTATATATATTTTTTTAAGATAGGCAAATCCTGTGTCAAGTCACGAGACAGACAAGCTCCAAGTCATGTTTTATCTAAAGACAGGAGAGTCATGAGCCAAGTCAGATGTTAAGAAAGGTAAGCTTAAGACCTATTGAAGGAGGCAAGTCCTCTGCACTTACAGGCATACTCACAGTCAAGTCCTATGTAAAGATAAACAAGCCCCCAGTCAAGTCCCAAGTCAAGCTGCAAGTAAAGACAGGCAAGACCAGGGCCAAGTCCAGAGTCCTGAGCTTTGACTGTTGGGTCTCTAGTTTCTAGCTCACTTCACAAATGCCCTTTTTTTTTACCATTTTAATGATGAAGAGCCATCAATAATATATGATCCCTGATGGGGCAACGCAGGACAATGACACAAAAAGGGGAGGATACAACGTGTTACCATTGACAATATTTCCTGCTGCTCAGCTAACTTCACATCATCACTATAGTTTCTAGCTTCAGTTTCATAACTCACAAAAATGAGGTCCCTTGTTACTTTCCAACAGATATTCGGCTTGACTTACCGCTCTTCATGCAACTTCATAGGTCAGTTGTTCTTGTTAAATCTCCACCTGAGACTATCAACCTGCACATTTCACATGCTGCAATCTATGTTTGTTGGCACACCAGTGAAATGATCTTTGCTAGCATGTTTGTGCAGCTGGGGTTAGCTGACTATTCATTTAATAGCTCTGGCACTCAACATCGTAAGCTACCCACCTTGTGGTTCGTCCTAGAACTTGACTAAATGTTGTTAGATATTTCAAATGAGGTGTTGGCGTTGGTTTAAATGGGGGATGAAAGTAATTATGTCTATTTATGGACACTTTTTGAAACTGTACATACTTTTACATTTCAAGATTTCAAGTCATTAGGCTCAAGTTCAAGTGACGCTTTGAGTTAAGGTGTTAGAGTCAAAGATTATTCTATAAGTCCTGTATGATATTGTCAAGTCCAAAGCCGTCAGATTAGTGACTCAGTCTACATCTCTGCATAGACGTGTCCTACAGTAAGAGACCTGTGCGAGAACAGAGGAGTTTTTACACGATCATTTGTTGTTTCATCTATCCATCCATCCATCCATTTTCTACCGTTTGTCCCATTGGGGGCTGTGGGGGGCTGGAGCCTATCCCAGCATCTTGGGGCGAAGGCAGGGGACACCCTGGACAAGTCGCCAGTTCATGGCAGGACTGACATATTTTGCTGTTTCATCTAACTCCTTTTATTTTAAGGTGTAATTCACCCTGTGGCCTCTGGGAGGCTGCTCAGGCAGCTTGAGAGGAGTTTGCATCTGTGTTATATCAGCCACTTTTCCTTCTTAAACTGTAGTGTAGAAAAATCAGTCTCTCTCTGACAGAGCTGGTCTATAAAGGACTTTAAACACTGCTAACATGACAGTTCAATAACAGTACACCACGGGCTCTGAAACACATCAGCATATGGAGTCGCTTGCTGCTCTGGCAAACATTAAAAGCCTTTTTTGTGCATGTCATGGGAACAATTTGAAAATTGCATCTTGATCAACCATCTAAAAGCTGTTTCTTTGTGTTGTTTTATTTCCCCTCTGAGTGGGGAGGCAAAGAGCCAATGTGTTGACTGTTGACTGTACAGCATGACAGGTTCATAAAGAAAAGAGAAATTCCTTGTCGAAAAACTTAATTCACATGCTGTCTGGCGGTGTGGCGGGGGAGGTTATTTGTGCGTCATGTTTGCGGTTGGCAGAATCAGGCAGGGACGCAGCTCCGGTGCTGTTGTTGGCTTTGTTTGACTCCTTTACTTGTGGTTTGTGCCGGTTGGATGGCTGCCAGTGCATCAGGGCCATCGCAGACAGCCATGTGTCGGTTTTATTACTCGTACTGTCATCTCGCTCAATAGAGGAGGAAGCCGCTTTGTTTCCTCTTTCTCTGATTCTCTGTGCTACAGAGTTTGTCTCTAGTTCGCGGCGTGTCTTTTTCTGTTCTCTTTCTGTTATTTCCACACTCAGCCTCCCTCCCCGCTCCTCCATCTTTGACACTCTCTCTTGTTTCTCTCCTGTTAGCAGCTTCATATCTCTTCCACAGCCTTTGTCTGTCTCTGTCTCCTGTTTTGAATGAGGACTAATGGTGACAGGTACTTTGGTTTGAATCCAGCAGACAGGCATGCTGAGCCGGTCCTAGCTACCACAGGCTCCCACAGGATTTCTCTTGTTTATTTTACGTTGTGCTTTAGCTCTCATCTCGCTGTGCAAACATCCAGTAAAGCTCCCGTTCGCTTACAGTGATACCCGCGCCACATGCCGAGGAGATGACTGCTGCTGTATCTGCCTCTAGAGACAACATCCCCCCACCCTGCTGCTGCCTCCACCTCGCCTGGCACAAATCAAAATAATGGCCCTTTTTACTGGTGCTGCACGCTCTGCATTTACACCACGCAAATGTACGAATGTGTCAGCTCTCTTTTGTCCGACAGTGCATGAAATCTCCCAAAAAGGGGACAGCGAGGCCCGAGTAACCCCCTCGAGCTCCCAGCATCGGGATGTGGCTCTTTGAAGGCGACAAGGGGAGACGGGAGGGTGGAAGGAGGGAGAAGGAAAACAATCCATGAAATTATCCGGGTAAACTGAATATGATTTAGCGACTGTTTGGCTGCCCTGGAGGCTGAGCCAGCCCCAGAAATGTAAATACTTACATAAAGTTCCAGTTCAATATTTAATCTATCTCAAACACGGCCCGCTCAAACCCTTGGAGACTGTGGGCCACCCAGAGCTGCAGCCTAGACTGTTACTGTGTGTGTGTGTGTGTGAGAGAGAGAGAGAGAGAGAGCTAAGTCCAGAACTACAAGGGGCCGAGTGACCTTTCGAGAAACAAAGGGTGACGAAAACCTTCACAGGGTGGTGAGGAGCCGGGTTCACACTCAGATTCTGGCTATTCTTAAACTCGGTGCTGATTTAGATTACAGTTAGATTTAGGGTTCCTAAGTTTTATGGTGTGTTGAGTTGTTTTGTTGTTGCTTTAAAATAACAAAGATGGTTTACAGTGAGGCAAGCACTCATCAGGTGAAATAACCTTTCAACATTGGCTGCACAAGTCCAAAAGATTCAGATATTTCGTAAAACTCTTTGGGTGAAACAAAACAGCATTTGTGCCCAAAAATTGAGTCTGATCAACTGCATGGGGTTTGAATCGATGATAGTTATACAACTGAGGACAGCATGTCCACACTGAACTCTGAGTGGCTCTGCCAGCTAGACTTGGATCCAGAATGTTTAAAGGAGTAAAGGGATCTCTCCAGTTAAAGTCGCGTCTTTTCACAAACTTTAAGACAAAACTTTTAACATTAAAAATTTATACTGCAAACTTTGCAATTCGTAAAATAAAATAAAATTCTAGTAAGATCTGGTAAGCAAGACATTTTTGCAGCTACCCCATTTGGATTGATTAAAAACTGTAAGTTAACCTTCAAACTCTTTAAGTCTGTTGACTTTTAACGAAACGTGTTTGTGAAAAAGACACATTGAAGAACAACTTTTGCAGGTGGGATTGCTTTACTTTCTTAGAACAGTGGAGCTACAAATGAAGGTCCAACTGTGCTGGGTCTACAGCCAAATACTCTTGGACAATCCTGCAGAAACACAACACTGTTATTACTTATGTATTACATATTTATAATGTCACTATGTTCCTGGAACAAGCATGACAGATATCATATGTTACACTTCTTGAATATATTTTTTAGGCAAAAGCTCTATCTTTGCTTTCTGTGGAGTGATGATAGACTGTGTTGACCTAGCAGAGGTGGGCCTTAAACCTCCTCACAAATGGCGGCAGGCTTTCCGCCTGCCGGTCAAGTCGATGGATGCTGTGGAAGTCCTGGGATGCTGGAATCAAAAGTGTGTTTGAACCAGGCTGTAAGCATATTCATTTCTTTAAAAATTGGGCTTTTTGACGCTCAGTGTAAACATGGTTTCCATTGCAGCTTCAAACAGCCTCTGGGTAGACTCAGGGAACTGCAGGTTTTACTTATTAAACTCGTCATTATGGAGTGTCACACACCCGGTCTGTGAGTTAATCCAGCCTGAACCCTTATGACTGACTCTGATCTTATGCATGATGAAATCTAGCTAACGTGCTTTTATGTAAGACCAGTCTAAAGATTTGCAGACAAGGATCTTTAGTGATAAAATTTACCAAAATATCCACAACTTTGCACCTTTTCTTGCTCACCGCATGTAAGTGAAATGTATCTTTCCGTTGCAAAAAAAATGTATGATTTAGCTTTCTTAGTTTTTGAGTGTAAACAGGACTGTGCACACACTGATCTCTGGAAGTCCGCTCAGGGCTCAAAAAAGTGCCAAAAGACAATCCATTTTTGTAGGAGTAAACCTTTAAGCCAAGTGTAAGGTTCTGGGTTTGGTTGCTTGTTTTTTTCTCTCCGTTTTATTTATTTTTATTTTTTTGGTCATACCTTAAAATACATCGTCACACCCCTGTAATGAAACAAACTCTGCAGAGAAGCTTCAAACTGTAAACCAGTTAGTGCTTTATCGGTTCAGATTCGGCTCTGCTCCAAAGCTGCACCCTCTGAAAGCTTTATGCTTTCAGTTTTCCATGGCTGAACATGCTCACTGCACCCATCTGAAGAGCAGCAGAGCTGAACAAATGTCTGCACTCCCTGTTTCACTTCGACAGGAAGAAGAGTCGAGCACTTCTCTGCTCCTCGCTCCGAGCAAGAAGAAGAAAAGGGGGCAGCAGCACCTGGCTCCACAAATGTCAGGGAGAGATCGATGTAGGTATTTATTAGCGGTCACCCGCAGATAAAGCTTTCTTTGCACCCTCTCTCGACCTTATTCAGCCCCTTTATTTCTTCATGTTAACAAATCACTGCAGGGTCGTCGCTTAGAGGTGGAGCGGGGTGTCCTGGTTCAGCTTGTGTGAGATTTGTGTGGCATTGTGCACACTTTTATAGATTCAATGTGACTTTCAAAGAATTCTCTGAGATATCCATCACTAACAGGTCTAATTGATCAGCATAAAGCGCTGAATATCTCTTCTTTAACGCAGGATGTTAGAGTGTGTCTTATCCGATCTGTGTCCACAGGAAACAAGACCTGCAAATGGTGAATTTAGGGACAGAAACTTAAAAACAAAATGATTCAATTGAGATGTTTCTCACTTTTTGAAACTCTGTTCAGTTCAGTGGCAATTTTTTAGTTCCCAAAATATCAACACAAACTGGAGTAAACATTTCATGATTTTTTTTTTCAGTTGGATGCATGTTGTTGTTCCTGCCTCTGGTTGAAAGGCAGTTTGATGCCTAACAGATTTTTTTGTGAAAGATATCATAAAAAGGGTTTACTGCCCTCTCCCTCCACTGAATTACAGTTCAGATTTTGTTAAAAACTGCAGTAATAGGTGTTTACCAAAGACCAGCTCTTCCGTAACAATGACAAGGCCATGATGAGAATACGATGTAAAAATATGAGAAAAACTTTCCAAGAACACACTGAGCTAGCTGACTTATGTGCGACAAGTTAACCTCTACTACAGATATTTTCCTTAGGCATGTCAGTGACAAAGACACTATAAGCTTCAATGTCAGTTTATTGTGACTTTTGCTATTTTCACCACTATAGCTCCACGTAAAAGCCTTGACTTATCCTTGTGGAGAGTTAGATCACATGTGATACTAAGTGAGACCTTTATGATTTTTATCAACCCAAAGACAAAGATAAAGCTGAGAGTGTACCTGTCATGAGACGTTTCTTAAGCATGGCACAAATTAAAAGACTATAAACATCATTAAGGATTTCATAAATGTCATACAGCGAGCATTTCAAAGATCTGCATGCACAAACGTGAATACAACAATACACCTGTGGGAAACAAGGCAAGGGCAACATGGCATATACAGCTGAAACTGATATGTGAATGAGAAAAGGCTGGAAACAACAAAAAACTACTGGAACAGAGGTGGAATCACTTTTTTCTGCACAACACATCCACCATGCACAGTGCGTGTGTGTGTGTGTAAATATTCAGGGCACACACACACAGAAACACAAACACATCCAGCTCACCAGGCCGGGTACACGGCTGATCTGTCACACACGGAGACAGAGCTGACGGTTGTTTGACTGAGAGTGGTAGCAGATATGAGAAATCTAAACAGCACTGTGTGTGTCAGGGTGTGTGTGGCTGACAGACTGAACCATACACACATACACACACACACTAAGGTGTGATGAAAAGCAGAACACACACACACACACCACTGAGGTCAACACCAGCCTTGCAGTGCCAGTGTGAATAGCTCAGCCTTATATGGAGGTAAAGTGAAGAGCAGAGTCAGGCTGTTGACATAAACTGTTAACCTGGTGATGACAAAAGAAATGAAAAAAACAACAACAACAAAACTTAGAGGCAACTTTTTCTGGATTTGGTCTGAAAGTGGGCCCAAAAAAATCTGATTTACAGGTCAGAAAAAAAAGAAAAGAAACATGTCTATCAAACATTCTGAGTCCAGGTCAAGGTCAAAGGTCCCTCGGGTGGTTCTAGACCATATCATAACAGGTTTTACGAGGGTTATTTAAATGTAAAGACTCTTGTATTAGTGCCTGTTACATTTCTTCTCATGGCTCCCATTCATCTACTGTATCTAGTGAAGGTGTCAGTCACTAAGGCGTAGATACGGCATGGGGGCCAATGCAGAAGCATCCATCCATCCATCCATCCATCCATCCATCCATCCATCCATCCATCCATCCATCCATCCATCCATCCATCCATCCATCCATCCATCCATCCATCCATCCATCCATCCATCCATCCATCCATCCATCCATCCATCCATCCATCCATCCATCCATCCATCCATCCATCCATCCATCCATCCATCCATCCATCCATCCATCCATCCATCCATCCATCCATCCATCCATCCATCCATCCATCCATCCATCCATCCATCCATCCATCCATCCATCCATCCATCCATCCATCCATCCATCCATCCATCCATCCATCCATCCATCCATCCATCCATCCATCCATCCATCCATCCATCCATCCATCCATCCATCCATCCATCCATCCATCCATCCATCCATCCATTGTAATTTTCTCTTTCTTTAGTTGGTTATTGTTGTAGTGTTGGCACTTCCAT